CATCCGGCAAGCAAGATTTCAGACCAGGCTGGATTCAAGCCATGGAGGAAGCAGGTGTGAAACGCACGTGGACACCCGTGTTCTCAGATGAAGACTATAGTCCTGAGAAGTTGGCGGAGAGGTATGCGAACTATATGGATGAGGATGTCAAGGGGTTTGTCGAGGCTTATGCTAGTATTTTGACGGATGGAGGGGGGGCTTATGGGACTATTTTGCGGTATCTGGCCAGCCTGAGTAGTGATGGCGAGGGGAAAGAAGGACAGAAACTCGGTGCACTCATCCACTGCACAGCCGGCAAAGACCGCACAGGAATCTTCTTCGGCCTCCTCTTCGATTTCCTCGGTGTCCCGCGCGAGCAGATCGCCGAGGAGTACCAACTCACTGAACTCGGCCTCCGCCCTGCGCGAGACGAGATTGTGGAGCGGTTGTTGACGAGTCCCGGCTTCAGGAAGTATATGCTTGCGCAATCAACCGGACGACCTCTATCGAAGGAGGAGATGGCACAGATTATCCAAGGACGGGATAGCGAGGGTTCTGATACCTCGGAGTTTCCGCCTGAGATTCTGGAAAAGGGCAGGCAGGCTGCGTTGCGCATGGTGGGGTCGAGGAAGGAGAGTATGCTGGCGAGTTTGGATATGTTGGATAGCCGGTTTGGCGGCGCGGAACGGTATATGAGGGAGTATTGTGGGCTTGGGGATGGGGAGTTGGAGGCGCTGAGGAGAAATTTGGTGGTTGGACAGGGGGCGTGACTAGGTGTAGGTGTGGATGGGAAGGGGGTCGAGAGGAGGAGGAGGGAGAGGTTGTAGCAGCGATTTGTGTACCCTCAACGTCTCTCTCATTGGACATGTAAACATTCGGGCCCACCTGGGCAGACCTGGGCGATGGCAGCGCACCAGTGTCCAGGCACTAAACCGCTTGCAGACGGTTAGTGTAGGCAACAATCCAATATAACAAGAACGCCATCGCGAGATACCGCCACTACTACACACTATCGACGAAGAAAAGCAACCCACTTTGATTCAGACTGCTCTCCAACTTCATTAGCTCAGCATGCCCACTAGAAGAACCCGACCCACTATCGTACCCAAGGGCCCGTGGACCACGTCCTTGAATTGGGACCTATGCGCGACACCCCAAGGCGAGATACGCGTACCTTTTCGACACCATGTTCGCCCGGAAGAAAGAATGAAGTATTCCTCACTCGACGGTTTCAGACCCTTTCGACGCCTGCCATTGGAGCTTCAGCACCATATCATATCGTTCTGCGACAACGCAACGCTCTTCCAGCTCATGCGTGCATCACCTGCCACGCGCGAAGAAGCCGCCAAAACTTTCTGGTCTGATCCTGCCGTCGAGTTTCGCATACACGGCTCTTGGTTACTTTCAGGCGGATACACGGGCCTTACACATGCCGCTCTCGAGGCTCACAAGTACATGCAATACATTCTCATCGAGCTTGGAGGTGCGAACAAGACTCTTTACGATGACTGGATGGATCTCATACCGCATCATATCAAGTTCTCAGATCAGGAGGAAGCGAGACTCTACGCAGAGCACCAGATAGCTGCGTTCTGGCAGGTACTGCGCGAGTGGTTTCCGCGCGTCGTGAGCGTCGTGCTTCATACGAACTATATTCTCGAACCCAGCACAGAGCCTCCCAGATTTCTTACGCAGCTGGCAGAAGCATGTCCGGATGGGATCCATGTACGCGCGTCGAACTTTCATGTTGACCATAATAGTCAAAAGCGTCCCAGGTCGAGGAAGCGTTGGCAGGCGATCAAGTCTACCGATAAGCCAGTAGCTTGGGAGCTGATCGAGCCCTTGGATACACCGCGTCTTGTAATTCCACCATTTCAGGAACGATCTGGACCCGCGGGTAAATGGTGGCGTTGGATGCACGACGAGACTGAGCCCTACGACTACGTGTATCACGCGCGAAAACTTCTCCTCATCCAAGCAACGGAAGCATACTATCTGCACACTCTTAAATCTCCTTGTATATGTCCAGTGACTGGATGTGGTCTACAATTCGAGGAACCGGGCCAATGGACATTGCACTACGTATCAACCAACGACGAACTACATGACAAAGTTACATTATCCCCGCCTCCATGCGCGACGCTTCAGAATGCGTTTGCAGAACACAACGCACGTTTAAATCGCATGCGAGAGATACAGAAAGAGAGATTGATCGAGATGCGCGCCGAGTGGGGTGAAGAGGGAAGTGAACAGCGCAAGCACATCACGCAGCAGTTCCTCCAGCAATTACGCGATGATCCGTTGTGCGCCATTAGGCAGGAACCAGAGAAGAGTCATTTTTGGCGTCGGTATCAGGTCATGATGAACTCGAAAGACCTTTGGCACTGGGGCTGACGACTTACAGCCTACGGCCTTCTGGTTCTACTGAACAAATGCGCGAGCATATAGTAGGAGAGGAATTCATCTTTGATCTTCTCCTTTGTTCCTATCCTAGGGATAGCTTCAGAGCAAACGGTCGTTACTTCATGGACTACCGCCATTGGTTCAATGCTGGGAAAGTGATCGCAGGTCGTGACCTAGCCGGAAGAAGGCAAAACGTATCACTGCAGAGAATGTCACTTTCGTTCTTGTCGAACCTAGGAGCAAGCAAGCTGTTTGGGTCGCGTATCGATGTATCGATACTGAAGAGTTATCTATAGGAGAGATCGCAGCAGTTCCTTGAGGCGTTCAGGTATACCAAGTAGCCTCCGGGATCTCATCCAGCAATTCAAACCTCCCCAACTCGCGATTCTTGTACGCGACAGGATCATGCAACGTATGCGTCCTAACGTCCCTCCAAAACCGATCCAAGCCCACTCTTGCACTCGTCGCCTTCGCGCCTGTGACCTCAAACACTCCAGAAGTAACCCGCAGGCTGGTATCTGTTGTTACGACCTTGACGCTTGCAACCCATTCTGCCAGCTCGCCCCGCTCACGCACAGTCAGCTTCCCGCGGGTATCCAGATCGCCGGCGTATTTATTTAAGGTGGCATCGACTTCTTGGCCGGCGCGGTCTGCCAGGGCGGACGCGGCACGGAGGTGGGCGTGGAAGTTCCCATAGCGTTCGAGGATGTAGAATTCGTCTGTGGCTTTCTCCTTGTTCTAGTCGTGCGTTAGCGATTGTTACTGGTTTAGTGGATGCGACTGTGCTTACGTCGCCACCGAATGGCCATGCTCGAGTTCCCTTAAATGTGTACCTCGCTGCATACTGTTGTGCACCTAGCGCGATACCGAGGTAAAAGTTACTGAAGACAAGCTGGATGGTTGGCAGAAGCAGCGTCGCGAACGGTATCTGCAGCGCACGGGGGTCTGGTTCTTTCTTCTCGATGTGCCAACCCAGGGCATCCTCCCAAGGTACGCGCACATCGGAGATCTTCACACTACCCGACTCTGTCAAGCGCAGACCAATGTTGTTCCAATCATGGCCGAATTGGATACCGGGTTGATTTGTCTTGGCAAAGGCGAAGATGTGATTCCCAGTGCCTTCGTATACGCCCTCGAGAAGCGTGAGATCAGAGACAACACCGCCTGTGTTGAAGAACTTGAAGCCGTTGAAGATGAGGTTGTCGCCGTCCGACTTGATGGACAGGTCGCTATCTCGGGGATTTACCGCGCCGCCGATGAAGTAGTTGTTCGAGATGATGAGCTTCTGGAAGCGATCGGCTTGTTCGGGTGAACCGACGATATTCGCTGTGGTTGACCAGAGGAGGTGGTAGCCGAGTAGCATGCCAATTGATCTACGTCGATCAGCATACATATGCGCACGGCAAAGGAACGATCCTACCCGTCTGCTTCGGCGACTTTCCGAATCGCCTTGTAGCCAACACTCCAAGGCTGACCACCGCCACCATACTGCTTCGGACCAAGGAGCTTCAGTAATCCGGAGTGCTTCAGTAGCGCAACTTCCGCACGTGGAGACTTGTTCTCTTGATCTCGTATGACGGCATCGACGGCGAGAACGTCAGCGACATCTTGAGCACGTTGCAGCCACCCTGCTTCGTCTTGAGGGATAGAAGACCACTTGGTCTCATACTCAGCATAGACAGTCGGGTCTCTGAAGTCGACTGCTTGCGCGTTTCCGGACTCGCCGTTAGTTCCATTGGGGATGGCCATGGTGTGGATGGAGAGAATGATAACATCTCGATCATGATCTTATATCTGAACCCCGCAGAACATCTCTCGGAATGATGAGAATCACGCAGAGTATTGCGTGCTATTTGTTCATTCTCGAGGCACTCGCATTGGTGCACATGAGTACATAAGTAGGTTTATGATGGCGATGAGAACGACCGGAGAGACAGGGATATACCGCCGACATGGTGAGTGTTGAGCTGTCTGCCGAAAGGCAGGTGTAGCTGGGAATAGTCCGATAACGTGGGGGTGTAGATTGCGCAAAGCAGTGTTGGTAAAGCATGTGAATGTGAGTGTCAGAGAGTGAGACGCATCGGCGGACCGCACCTGCATCATTGCATTTGTGCTAACCCAGAACGAGACTAGTCTGTAACCCGTGCGCACGTCCGAACGCGAACCGCGTTCGCCATCTAACCCCTCAATCGCATCATCCCCAACTCCGCACTATCACGGCCCATCACAGTGTCCAGCAGACTGCGCACCTCCGAGGCACCTTCCGTCACCAGCATGCGAGCCTTCTGTCGCTCGTAGCTCATTCCGCCTTTCTCTTCGCGAAGAAACGGGAGGTGTCGCCGAGTGGTAGTTCAACGATGGAGTCTTTGAGCAGCAACGCGAACGTCAGATACCACCCAGTCAATCCAGCCAAGAAACAGAACGCACCACCGCCTTTCTTGAGAGCGATGGACGAGGTCGAGTGTCCATCTGCCGTGGCAAAATAAGACGCCGACACTAGCAAGAATCCCAGCTCGACACAAAAAAAGATGATGATGTAGACCAGGTTTGTCGGTAACGAGGCCACGAGGAATACCAAGGCGAAGACCGTCCACACTGTCACACGATTAGTTGCGCTTTCACCACTTGTCGGTCTTGAGCAACTCACTGATCATGAAGAACCCGAGAGCGTTGTTGTATTGCTTTACATCGCCTCCATATGCTGCCTCAACCCCGAAGGCAGGGGTCAAGATCGCGCCAAAACCGGCGTAGAACAGGCCAAAAGCGCTGAAGACAGTATACGCGAAACCGTTACCGACGGAGAGCTCCCACTGTGCAGTAACTACCAGGCCTAGAGTATCCAGTCAGCCAAAGCATACATACATCGTACGTCCCGATAACTTGCCGAATGCCGCCGCAAAGAAGAAGTTGGCAACGAAGACATTGTTTGTGGTCACTCCTCGCCATTCCATGAGACTGAGCGACAGCGTGGTCAAAGTCGTCGCGAAGACTCCGATTGGAAGCGCCGTCTTGACATGTTAGCAACGGTGTGAAATGTACTGGAAGCATAACTAACTCCAGCACCCAAAGTCTTTGGAGCTGCGACGGGCACAACCGAAGTGTCATGAGTGCCTTGCTTCTCGACATCGGTAGTACCAGTGCTGCTTTTGCTGTTCAAGTCGGTGGTCGAATATTTAGACATGACTGTCTGCGTGCACAGATTGCTTCACGCAAGGTACCGACTCTGATCCACAGCCTTTTGTACTGAATCGTCATGAGTTCCCATATTGAGAAAGACCACATCGACGCGGGACGACTGCGGTGTCGGCATGTTACCATTGCGACCATGCGATGGCAAATTACGTGCTTCGGCCTTACTTTCAGTGCTGAGTAGCGTTCAAATGATCGCGTCGGGGCGACATTATAGTATTGCAGTCCAAGCTCGCTATCCTGATCGATCTTGATGTGGGGTATGCGGTGCTTGAGTATCTCGCTGCAAGTCACGGCACATCACGTCTTCGGAGGGTGGGATTGTCACATCGACCAATAGGCCGAAGCTCGTAAGCAGCCAATCGAGGATGCCGGACTCGTGAACTTGTCGCAAGATCATGCACCACACCTTGTCATATGCGAAGCCGAGATGTTGAGCTGCGATATAGAAGTTAACCAGTTGGCTTAGGCAAGATCGGCGGCCAGCCGGCTGCAATAAAGGCGAACACCACCTAGTCTACTTACCGGGTCTAGTCTACGGCAATCCCGTAAATCCCGCGTTCAGATGGCTACATATCACGCAATCCACGCTTGTTATGCGTATATCTGATCTGCAGTCGAACCCCAGGTCCATGTTGCGGGGCAGTATAGTACGGGTACTCAACTCACATACCTCCGTGTCTTCAAACTTACGTTCTGTTGTATGCCTCCAAACAAGCATGACGCCGCGCAAGAGACAAAAGACAGGTGAGGTTATGTGGAGACTACGGCTATCAAGAACGTGTGGGGCTGATAAGTTGTTCCTCAGCAGCAGAGAATGGCACGACGAATGGCGCCAATGGACACCTGAACAAGACAGCGGAAGATTACACGCCCGCAAAGCAACTGGACCTGAACCAAGATCCCGATCGCCTATTGTTCGCGTAAGCAGTTTCCCAAGGACAGCCGTTTACCGCACCTCCTAACCTTGCGACAAAATAGTTACTGGGTCCCGAACGTCTCAGGCGGCCTCGTTGTCTCAAAGATAGCCCAACGAACCAGCTGGGACCTTGCATCCAACGTACGATACGCCCGTACGGCCGAATCATATGGCTTCGAGTATGCGCTCACCCAGATTCGATTCACCGCGTCGTATGGAGCCGACAACCAGCACGAAAGTGTATCATTGTCTCAGGCGCTGTTGCACAACACCGAGCGCATCAAGCTCATCGCTGCGATACTTCCCGGGCCATGGAACCCCACCGTCGCAGCAAAACAAATCGCAAGCATTGACAATTACACCAACGGGCGCATTGCGGTAAACATTGTTTCAGGCTGGAACAAGAGTGAATTCCAGAGCATCGGTCAATGGTGGCTCGAGCATGCCGAGCGGTATCGACGCTCCAACGAGTTCATCCGCGCACTCAAGGGCATCTGGACCGCTGGTGACGAGGGCTTCACTTTCGGTGGCGACTTCTACCAGTTCCGGAACTACAACTTGTCACCCAAACCACTCCAGAAGCCGCACCCGGAGATCTTCCAAGGCGGCAACAGCGACGACGCCCGGAACAATGGCGCTGAAGTCAGCGATTGGTACTTCATGAACGGCAACGACCTGGACGGCTTCCGCGAGCAGATTGAGGATGTGAAAGAGCGTGCGCGAAAAGCTGGGCGTGAAGGCCAAGTGAAGTTTGCGGTGAACGGCTTTGTCATCATCCGTGAGACGGAAGAAGAAGCTATCCGCGTGCTGAAAGAGATCCAAGGGAAAGCCGACACGGAGGCCGTTGAGGCGTTTCGAGAAGCAGTACAGCAGGCTGGTGCCAGCACGAGTAACAAGAAGGGCATGTGGGCGGACAGCAAGCTAGAGGATTTGGTGCAGTACAACGACGGCTTCAAGACAAAGTTGATTGGCACTAAAGAGCAGATCGCCGATCGGATATTGCTGTTGAAGAGTCTGGGCGTGGATTTGGTGCTGACTGCTCACTTGCACTACGAGGAGGACATCGAGCGCTTTGGCAAGGAAGTATTGCCGTTAGTAAGGAAGCTAGAAGCTACAGGCAGAGGCAAGGATGTCGACGACGAGATCAAGCGTACGGGCGATATTTATCGGAAGTCGTAATTGTCATGCAGCGATGTAAGCTATCTGCAATCTCTCCTTACCGGCCTGGCGCCCACAATGTGTGAAGCTATGCGAGGTTGGGAAACGTCTGAGCCGCCGCAATACCCAAAGCCTTAGCACTCCCCTGCTTCACAACCCCGTACGTATCCTCATTCGTCCAGAACTCAAAGTCCGCAGCACCTTTGCCCGGCTTGTTGATCTGCCAAATCATCCACGGCACCTTGAGACCATTGAAGATGTCGATATGCTGACCCACCACACTCGCCTTGTTGGAACCAGACGCACCGAACTCCTCGAAGAGCACGAGTTTCTTGGCGGCTTGGGCGTGCTGCAGTGCGATGGGCGCTTTGTTGCGCCATTCGGATACCCCGCTGTAGGAGTGGATGTCGACGAGATCGAGAGTCGCGCAGCCCCAGTTCTCGGGGATGTCGGAGTTGGGGAATTCGTTCCCGCCGCCTGGAGGTGCGGGGTTAGTATTGTTGTGTCTGGGTATGGAGTAGTACAGGGTGGGATGTAGAGGACTTACCTGTCGAGATGAGGATAGCGCTGCTGCCCATTATGCTTCGCATCTTCTTGCTTCGATTGCACCACCATTCTGGCGCAGGCGCAATGTTGTTGCGCAGATGTCCCTGTCCCTCGTTCTGGATGTTGAACGAGAAGATGTAGTCTGACAGGTCCTTCCATTGCGGTGCGCCTGAAATCAACGAGTTCCTGTGTTGAAGAATGTGTGTGAGGCGGTTGTCGAAGTCGAAGATGGGCGATGCGTCCTGGTAGAAGAATGTCACGTCGTTCTGAGCGGCGGGCGTCCTCGCGCAGTCGATTGCAGGAAGTTTGTACTTCGACACGTATGTATCTATGACACGCACGCGTTAGTATCACCGGCAACTCCAGTTCGATCTTGAAGGGAACACACCATTACCCCAGCAACCCAGCTGATAACGATCATGCATAGCAATGATGAGTTTGATGCCTCGATCATGCGCCTCGACCATCAACTGATCAATAGCCTTCAGCTGAGTGTCGTCGTAGGTGCCGACCTGCCGTGGCTCGATATCGGGCATGTTGACTGAGCCAGTGTCTTTGTTGTTCTGAGGCGTGGGCGAGATGAAGATACGCAGCGTCTTGAGCTTGGCATCTTTGACCGCGTCGAGTACAGCGATACGATCAGCCCTGTGGATAGTAAGTATATGGACGAGGGGTCTTGAGGTGTGCGTACTTCTGATAGGCATGGAGGAAGTACGAGTTGACTCCAGCCCAGCTCGTAGAGATAGCCCTCTCATCGAGTGGTTGCGCTGCTGAGAAAGGCGCGCTTAACGCGAGGGGGAGAAAGAACTTGAGAAGCTGCATGTTGGTCGTGTTCGATGCGAAGATGCTTTGATGGCCGTCCTTCTTTCGAGGAATCTGCTCTTTCTTATGCTCCCTTGCTTTACGTCTTTAATCTAGCGTTATTCACATTCCATGTGTGACCTTCTGCCTTTGGACTCGCTCTACAACCTTCTCTTTGCTACATGCTGTCTTCCATCTTGCATTGTTCGCGCACTCCGACTCTATCTTCTCCACTCCATGTCGAAACCCAATCTTGTAGTGAGAGGAAGTCTGGGACTAACGCCCAAAATGGTTGTGCGAGTGCGGAGCAGGCAGAACCGTTCCCGGTAGGGTTAGTACATCTGCACTCCGTACCAGCACGCTAGCCTTGTGAAGGGCGGAACCCGATCGCCCGTGTCACATCTAGATTAGCGGATATACAAGGCTCGCTCGTGTTGTAAAACACTCCCTAGCAATCCTCGGAGTGACGTTCTTTAGTATAGAGCGGACCGGACTGCGGGTAGGCCCAGAACTCCAATGTATGATCGACATTTGAGGGGAAATGAATGGCGTACTGACGTTCACGGCTGTCGGCTATCGGAAGTACATGTAGTGCCGAGGTATCGGAGTCTCCGAGCCTTGTTGTCCCTGGAGCCGCGGGGGCATTGAAGAACATTGCTCTCTAGACATATGATCTCTCACCGAAACACGACTCTCGCATAGCTTCCAATCCGAGGTAGTCGTGCTGCAGCGCGGTCGCAATATGGTTGAAATTCTGCGTGTGCTACCAGCAACCGTACTAAGGGTCCAGTTAATGTCTTCCAACCCTACGTAGACTGGTGCAACGTCAATGGAGTCTTTGTCTAGCTTCATTAGCTGTAGCCCCTCCGAGCTTGTAGGGGCACCGATGATGCCAGACCATGCTGAGCAGCCATGCATCAGCGACGGATCGCGATCATGTCGTGGTCCCACTGGCTTCACAGCCTCCCATGTCTCCTGGAACAGATCCGCATGGGCGTGAAGATGTGTTGGCTACATCTATAAGCGGTGTAAATATTGCGACGTTGTTCTTAGGTCACCGGTATGCAGCCCAGATTACATGATGCCTGCAAGGTCCCAGGCAGATGTCGGAAGTTGCTCATCGCCTCTGTGAACATGTCCACGAAATTAAAAGATATCGCTAGAGTATCCCGATTACAACGAGGCTGCCCAAGAGCTCGACATCGCCAGTTGTTGCGTCAAGCACATGCGGGATGAACACGTTCGAAACCG